GGACCGGTTGGGATCAGACAGGGAACGCAGTAAGAGTCCAGGAGGAATGACGCTCTGATGAAGCTTTAGCTACGATGGTGGAGGAGGGGCTGGAGGGGGGAGGAAACGGCGTCATCTGAATGATGTCACAGGAGCAGACAGGTGCGTATCGGAGGCATTTCAAGATGAGCTTTGGATGCTGATTGGCTTTCCTGGAGGTGTGGTTCAAAGCTGATTGGCTGATAGGTGGATGAAGGAGAATAATCAGTTTATTCAGTTGAACTTCCGCCTAGGCTCCAGTTTATAACTTTTTCTTTCTCCATAGGTGGCTTTAGATAGGGGCCGTTATGGAAACTATTAATTTTTGTAAGGTGATATATAATAAGCTGACACACGTGTGAGCGCCGTACTTCCTAAAGTATTTATTCTCTGGCAATGTGCTTCTGTGACTCAAAAGTTGCAGAATTGATCACATAGGAAATGAATAGAGTAGAATAGAGTCATGATTATTTTTATAGAAACAAAAGGCCTTCAGCTTTGATAGTAAAATCTTTATATTTTACAGAAAGATTTTTTGAGGTGAAGAGCTGAAACTTGTAGCGATTGGAAACCAAAACAAACAATAAGTAATATGAACCAAAGGTTAATAACAAAACCAACAGATCAAATATTGCCTTATGTCTTCAATTATCTGATAAAGTTAAAGAAGAAATCTAAATTATCAGTCTAACCAAAAATATAAAGAAGCCACAGACACCTAAAGACTGTATGATCAGTGACAGAGAATGATGCATTCAGCCTCATTTCTGCAGATTTTAAACCTCAGCAACTTTATGTTAACCTGGAAAAAAAGTTACTTTATGAGGTCACACCTCTTTATTACAAAAAAATAAAATAATAAAATGAAACATTCAGTTGTGTATTTTTATGGTATTAAACATCCTGCTAATACCTTCAGATACACAAGAACAGAAACAAATTCAATGTTAAGTTTACCTCCAATAAAATTACATCATTGCACATTAAAGAAATATATCTTTAAGTGTCTTGGATTTTTAACATGGATGCAATTTTATTATTGACATTATGAACTTATACATATCATGGAACAATTTCTCTCCTGATTGTGCATCAAGTCGTATCCTCATAAAAACAAATCGAGCGTTCTATGTTTGCCAACCTTTAAAAAAATGTCTAAAAAAAGAAGATGGCAAACTCCAATTTATTCCTGTATTTCAAATGAAAAAGTAATGAAAAAGAAATGACAGGTTTCCTAATGTAAAACAGTTAGAAGGTGACAGGAAATCGTACCACTCATGTATTTTGACTTTAAAACATTGCTGCATGTCTGTTTCTGCCTCTTTCACTTTAAAATAAGGAAGAAACAAAACTTATGTCATTCAGCAAAAAATAATCCTTTAGATTTCTACAGAAAGACATAAAACTATTTTTTCTTATTTTATAATTTTATCTTTAAAAAAGATTGCAATTTGTCTGATGAGAGTCCATTTAATGATAAAAAATGATTTATATATAATAAACATTAAGTTATGTAATCAAGGATGGCATAACTAAAAAACGGCTATTATCACAAGAACAATACGAAAACTAAAAATAAAGTCAAGTGTAGAATGGCACCTGATTTTATATATTTTGATTGATGCTAGCATTTAATGCTATCTTAGGTCTTTGGCTTTGTTCAAAATGTGAATAGTCCCACACATTCTCATCTTCATACTTTGGATCTTGTGCTGACATACGGCATAGAATGTGAAGAAATAACAGTATTTCCTCACAACCCTGTCCTCTCTGACCACAAAATATAGGAAACTGGAGAGAAAATATCGCTCCACAGACCTACGGGAGTCCTACCTAGTCTGGAAAAATAGTTTATTACTGTATATGAGGACCCTTTGTAAAGCAAGAGCAGCATATTTCTCCTCATTAATAGAGGAGAATAAAAATAATCCTAGATCTCTTTTCAATCCAGTTGCCAAACTCACCCAGAGCCATAGCTCTGTTGAACCGTCCATTCCACCTGCTCTTAGCAGCAATGATTTTATGGGATTTTTTATAAATTAGATTGATTCTATTAAAAATAAGATTACAGAAACACCTGAACATGTTTATTAGGTGCAGTAGGTATGAAGTTAAAAGTCTTTAAACTTAGAATTGGGTTTTACTGGGGAGCTGACGTTAAAAGATATTGCAGCAGAATTGAATAATGAAGTAGGAAAAGGAAGATTTCTTGTTTTTAAGAAAAAGCGGTCTCATCAGTTGATAAGTTAGGTGATAAATATGGAGTCCATAAGATGGCAGTAATGCAACACATGATGGCTGCAAGCTGCCAAAGAAGAAGAACAGAGTATATTGAGCCCACAGGTGGAACAAGGCAGTGATGGAGGTTCAATTTTTCATCCAGACTTCAGGACATGACTGATAGAGAATGTTTATAAAGTGAATTTAGCATAATATGACCTTTAATTGTCCTTTAATGTTTTTTCCTCTTCCACTGCATTTTAGATAATCTGCCAAAGATTCTAGAGCTCCACACTGCGCCTTTGTTAACCCTCTCAGTACTTCCTGTTCGGTTATTAGGTATTATTCCGTCGTCTGACATGAATCTTTCCTTTACTGTCTTTATCTTCATTTATACTGTTTGACATCAACCTTCTGTTTGTTCATGTTGAGGCCTAGGTTCTAAAAATAAGTTTATCTTTAGTATCAACTTTAACAGCTGATTATCTTAGTAAGAATCAGATTAATAAATCTTACAAATATGTGATTTTATCGGTAAAAATCGTAAAGTCAGGATATCTTAGCTTCTTAAACTATAGGAACTATTCCTCTCTTCCTAATTCTGAACACCTTTTATTTTCTGCCAACAAACAGCAGCAGGACTGAAACAAAGCCGCCAGGAAAGAAGAAACGGCCAGACGATGTCGGACCAATTAAGGATTTATTTCACATTTTGAATATCATCAGCTTGTTTGAGGAATTGAAGTCATCACAGAACAGGTTACAGTTATAATTTGGGAGAAGTTTGTGGGCAGAAGAAGAAGAAAAACAACCAGTTAAAAAAAAAAACAATCAACAATAACAGAATGTAGGTTAGGAGTTTTGGTGAAAGCTGTAGTTTAAACAACATGAATTCAAATGTCAGCGACTGGTCCTGACTTTCACCTTTCTGTGTGAGGAAAACTTGTGCCAGTGTTGGATAATAATAGACCGGATGAAATCAGGCAACCAGGGAGACAGAGACTTTACCACATGGGAGACGTCGTTAAGCACCGCAGCCACAATACGAGCACACAGCGACTGGACAGGAGTTAGACCACTGCAGCAGTCAGAGCGCTGCTGTATACACCTGGATTTACCTGAGTCAAGTTTCAAACGAGGATATAACTCGGGTAATAAGGAGGACATTTCAAAAGCGAATGTTTGGTAAAACCCATTTAGACACCTTGAAGCACGAACAGTCAGAGTTACACAGGCACTTGAGAAAAGGGACAAAACACAAAGACTTCCGATAAGGCACAACAGATACGACGACACAAACACCGGTCTTTGGGACGAAAACAGGCCAACATGGCAGACACAGGTTCTTAGAAAATACATGATTTAATTCAGTTTTAAAACAATGAAAGCTCTTAATTGGAACATTTTTAGGGATTCAATTATGTAAATTTGAAGTTTCCTGCTGAGGATCTGCAACATTTACACATCTCTCATTTAATCGCCTATAGTGAAAATTAGAATGAAAATAAAGATCCAATCTACTTACACTTTTTTACTGGCAGACAGATTTAAATTAAGATGAAATAAACCTCCATCTAATGTTTTGGTTTATTCTAAAATTAACTTAAGATAAAGACACATTTCTGAGTCTAATCATTGGCTGGATCCAATCACAGTGTTTAGGGAATAGTGCTATAGCACTAAGCCGCAGCTAATTAGCTACAGCAATTAGCGACAGCTAGCTCTACGGTTGGTCAGTGGGCCAGTTCAGGCCAGTTAAAAGAACCAGGACTCTCAGACTGTGGAGATCATCCATCATTGTTTCCCAGCAGCTCCTCCAGGACTGCTCCCACTGTGACGTTTCATCTGGCCAGAACCTCCGCTGGGCTACCAGTCCCAAAAAAACTAAAGTTAGCATGGTAAGGAAAGTGGCAATGCTTCCTCTAGAACTATAAAAAGTTCTGGCAAAAATAAACGTCTTTAATGTTTTTGGCATCTTGAGGAAATTATTTCTTATAGATGAATGTCCTTAGCTGACGACAGCTAATTAAATGAAGCTAACATTCCCTTTCTTGGCCGTTATCTGCCTCAGCTAGCCCGTTTAGCTAGGTACAGCTCCCAATTCACAGCTAGCTTTGCCCACCGAGCAAAAAATGGTTGAAAACACGACATGATTTTCATCCAAACGACGTTTACATTTAGTTAAAAAGTGAAAGGTGAAAAGCCGTGATTTTCAGATTGTGGAAAATACGTTGAAAACTTCTATTATTGGACTAAAGTTAAATGAAATCAGACGGACCAAACGCAGCCCAGTTTTTAATGAGTATTTCTGGACTAAATCAAAGCTATGATGGTCTTAAAAACCAACGTCTAAATGAGTCTGGTGTGGGGGCTACATTTTATTACCTTCAGCTGATTACCGCCAACTAACACCATCTAGCTGTACCTCTGGGGTAAAGCTAGCTACAGTTAATTAGCTGCAGATTGCTAAAGCTAATTAGCCACCTGTTTTGGGCTAGCTATTTCTGTGTGAATGGCAGATCTGAACAGGACTTCAACCGGAACATCTAAGGTGAACCCAGCTGAAGATATGCACCAGAACTCACCATGACGACCTGCTGACCCCCCCAGCCTCAGCCTTCATAGTTATCACTATAGCAACGGATGAAAACAAACATATTCAATACAGCTTTCTTAGTTTCATTTAGACCACAAAGCATTTTCTCTTTCATTACATTGATTTTCTGAGACATTCACCAAAAAACATGAAAACACTGAATTAAAGACCTGTGGATATCACACCTGTGGAACACCTGTGGATATCACACCTGTGGAACACCTGTGGATATCACACCTGTGGATATCACGCCTGTGGAACACCTGTGGACATCACACCTGTGGATATCACACCTGTGGACATCACACCTGTGGATATCACACCTGTGGAACACCTGTGGATATCACGCCTGTGGAACACCTGTGGATATCACACCTATGGAACACCTGTGGATATCACACCTGTGGAACACCTGTGGACATCACACCTGTGGATATCACACCTGTGGAACACCTGTGGACATCACACCTGTGGATATCACACCTGTGGATATCACACCTGTGGAACA